CAGACATCGTAAGGCGTGGTCTTCCACAGCGTCAAACAATTCTTCATAAGGAGGATCAACTTGTTTGAAGACTTGAYGCTGAATTTCATGACTCACACCAATGGCTTGGGYTCCACTGCCCACAACGTAYTGCGCATACATCAGCTACAAAAGAAAACTGGTGTTATAYGTCATGCGTTTTCTATACAGTTCAACATGAAATTTATCTGGAGGCGGAACCTGGGCTAACAGTGGTGAGAAYTAGYACCCTTTAATACATCCCCTTATTTTGTGTCTCCATTTTTCGGGATGCACCATCTCTTTAGGTGACCTGGACCCCTCTTTGCACTCCGCATGTTTTGAGTTGTGGCCAGTCTAGCGTCGCGTTCACACGCGAACTAAGAAAGTTTCTCCATTCGTGTCATCAATGTGTTCACAAAAGAGATTTTCCTTTTTTGTCCGATAAAGTCCTCAAAAGTGAAAGATCTTGAAAAGTGAATGGCTGAGTATTAACGTAGTTTGAAAGAAAGAATTCCAGATGTACAATTAATAGCAATTTAATTGTGTGTAATGTAAAGACCATAGGAATTGGAACTTACCTTGGCTTTTCGCGACAATGTTGAAGGATTGAGCGAATCGGCAAAAAACAGACCATTGTACTCTTGGAGGTCTTTCCAGAATGCTAGACAGTCCAACCATTGCTGTATTAAAAAACACAGAAAAAAAAGAATTAAATTTGACGATAGCTATGCTATCCATTTACATCATTAGGAATCATTTTACAATTCAAACCAATCAAATGACAGAGAGTTTAGATAGTTGATGTTTGATTCGTGAAAAAATCTGGATAAAAAGAGTGGTATTAAGAAGAAATGATAAATATAAGAAATAGCAAACTTAAATTTTAATAGCCAAGGCCAGKTGTAACAGCGAAATAGAAGACACAATAACACAGGAGAATTTGTAACTATTAGACTAAAAAACTCACCTTGTTACCCACTTTGTGTAAGTACTCTTCAAAGTATCCACCAGTCTGTTTCTCCAGGATCAGGCCTTCTATTAACGAATCTATCAGTGTATCAGTGTCACTCTTGACATGGTCTTCTTGGAGGGTTTTTGTCTCGTGTTTCTCAGGGCTAACGGCTGTACGATGAAACTTTCTATATTCAAATAAAACTAAATAGTTTATAGAGGAAACGTTTGTCGGTATGTCACAATGAGGCATTATAGCAGTTATTATTCTTAGTCAGAAATGAATATAGCAATAATCAAAGTAATTCAATTGCGYTAGGAATTTCAACCTTTACATAGTATAATCTTTTATGTATAAAGCGAAGTTAAAAAGTGTCGTTTGGAAAGCACTTTCTTCACTCATACAATTAAATATACAAACAATATTTCTGTTCGACATGGGATCTTACATTTCAACCATGCTTCTCTCATCAAACTGAAGTCACAACGCAAGATACCTACCCTAGCATCTTGGTGAGTTTCCCGTCAGGGGTGGGTACGGGGTTAATGTACAGCCTCACAGACGACATGTAATCTGGTTCGACTCCCTTAGAAAACRTGGGAGCTTTTTTAGGCTTGAAGCCGTAATTACCGCGGAAAGGAGACGTGATATTCTGAAACAAGACAATAAAGCATGRTGAAATCAAATTACGTCRCGATTTTATGAGAATGTAACAAATGCTCTGATTGGATATAAAGTCCAGTATCAATACTACGGACTAAAATACCTGCAGTTGTATAGTACTAGCGTTGGTGTCCAATGGCGTTGGAGCGGGAATCAGTCKTGGGTGTGCGGACTTGGCTCGTTTTCTATGCTTAGCCGTTAGAGGCCTGGATCCSTCACTATCAYTTTGCGCATGCGGTCTACTGCTTTGTGGTCTCAATAGCTGTTTGTTATAAGTAACTTGTGACATCCCACATGTATTAGGATCTAGCGTGACACTAGTCGATCCGTTTTCTCTAGAGACTACAGATTTAGGAACGTCCTCAGTGATTCGTGTGTAGTCAAGAGAATTTGTTGGGTTGCCTCGATTTTGCTGATGCATCGTGAAGCGTGCACACCTAGTTATAAAATGAATAAAAGATTAAATATTTAGGAATTTTTCCAGAGACGGATCTATTCTCATGTAAAGGCTGATTTACACGGTRCGATTTGTCGCGCGCGACTTGTAGTACACGATTTCCTTCTACAAGTCGTAGGATTTTAAGTAGTGGTTCAAAGTCCTACTACAAGTCGTAGGTTGCGTACGACTGTTGTAGAAAAGTCGTAGGGGCATTTACACTGCGCGATTCAAGTCGTATACTACAAATCGCACGAGACAATCGTGCCGTGTAAATCAGCTTTTTAAAGCTGATTAAAATAGTTTTATTAAGCTGATTAAAATAGTTTTCTTCCTTACAACTATTTCACTATTTTTTGCTCTTTTTCTCTCTCATTCTTTTTCTTCTCGTTCCTCCCTCTTTCCTTATACTCTTGAATGGACTTCTGAATGGATGTGCATTCATATGCTATGTTACATTACTTGAATTACTTTATTGGAAATATAATACAGAAACTCCTAGCCAGGGAGGGGTGGGGTCAGGGTTAGGGATAGAGGGGAGTTGCAGGATTGGATTTACAGTGCTTAATCAATGACTTACCAGTAATCCAATATTGGTTCTATAAAGCGGCAGCATTTGTCTTTTAGTTCATCATAAGTGACCTTCGAAAGGTCTTGTAGTTCAAGTCTTTTGATATTCTCAGGCGTAAGTTCGTACAAACCTCCCTTTTTAAAGTATTTTTGAAGTATAGTTTGAGCAATTCTGAAGATGAAAAAGTAGTATGTGCCTGAAGTTTGGGAAATGTTGCTGCAATGCGTTGAAAAAAGTAGAATTACACCGCACAATGAAAAAAAAAATTGCGAAATAGTAGATTTCTCTAGCAATGACGCTGCGAGACAAGTTGATGAGAAAAGTGCGCACAGTGTAAAATTACCTTAAAGAAATTTTGTACCTCTTTAGCATTGTCTGCGCAAGACGCAATTACAATATGTATCATGCCTGTATCGTTGATCGCAACCWGCCACAACGATTTCTCGCGTTAATAGTGTACTGCTTTGATAATGCGCGTTTACACTAGCGATTTTAGCGTCGATTTTTGCTGCCATTTTTCGAGCGGTTTACAAAACTATAATTGATTCTGTTTTATCCTTCTGAGGAGACGTTGAGTTAACGCATCTCTGAGTGTATTGAATAAAAGTATAAAAGTTAATTCTTTAGCATTATCCTCTAAGAACAAAATGGCCACAAAAATGGCCGCAAAAATCGCCTGTGCAAACGGGCTTAAATATTGCAAGTTAAAACAAGACAAAAATCCTATTATTCGAGTAAATAATATTATGTAAGTGTAGTTTCGCATACTTACAAATTATTGCCTTTGTCGTGCCTCAAACACTCGATATCGATCCACAATCGTAAGTATTTCTCAGCAACAGTTCCAAGAAGGAACTCTTTGAATTCATCAAGACCTTCCTTRGTAGCCAAGTCATATGGTTTATCTTCATCAACATAATCGTCTTCGCTTATATCAGATTGATCAAAGTCAAAACCAACAGACGTGGCTGCAACGCTTGCTCGTCGTCTTAGTATTCCACGTATGCCTTTTAG